AAAGAAAGAAAAGAAAAAGAAAGAAAGAAAAAAAGAAAAGAGAGGGGAAAGGAGGGAGAGAGAGAAAGAAAAAAGAAACAAAACTAGGAGGGAAGAAAGGAAAAGGAAGAAAAGAACAAATAGTAGCTAAAATAAGAAAATAGAATTAAAGATAGAAGCGAAAAACACTTAAAGGAAGAGAGAAAAAGAGCGAGCTAGAACTGTGAGAATAAAGCCGAAAAGTGTGGAAACAACAGAAACTTGTCTCACATCTTGTTCTGTTCTACCAAAACAGACCTTGTAGCATCAGCGAATATGATACGTTTTTTTAAGCTCGCTGTGGTTTGTTATAATTCAATCCTTGCTTCCAGTAATTTCAAAGTGTTTTTAGAGCAAACCCGCAAAACTAAAACACATTGCCTCAGCCATCTAAAAAAGCAATTTCCCCAAGTGACCAACAAAATATGTACTATTATCGTCTCCTATTCCGGTTTTAAGTTCTATTATTGAAATTACACAAGAAAACCACGAATAATTAGAACTTACCGCTCACAAATCATTTTCCTTCCCAAACAATTCCTCTAATTCTTAAGCGATTAAAATATATCGTTTTGAAGTGATTTCTATGTTTTTTAGCATCTTTCCCTTATAAGGCCTTGTCATGGTTGACTTCTGGAGTATTCAACGTTTTCCACTTCTGTATTTGTCRGAAATTATTACGGATAACATCATAATATTTTAAGCATTTTGATGTCTGCATTCTTCAAATGTAAAGCATATTTTCGACAGTTTTGGGTGAAACACGTTATCCCTGTAATCACTGGTACTATTATTGCACATATTGTATTCAAAAATCAGATTATTTCAAGGGAGACAAATCCTTACATTCCATATCTTGTCAAAACGCGAAAGCCTCAATGATACTAAGGTCGTTAATACTTCCTTTCTCATAAGAATTAGGAAAATGAACGCCCTAAATTACGAAAAGAGTTTACTAAAAAGGTTTTTGAAGTACAAATGTTAAGCCCCGTTTACATTAGCGATTTTTGCGGCGATTTTTGCTGCGATTTTTTTTGCGATCTTGTCCATAATAAATAATGGTAAAGAATTTACTTGTAAGGTTTTTTTCAGGATACCAAGATTTTCCTAGACGAATGTCTATTCTGAAGGATGAGACAAAAGATTTCATATTCCCGAAAAATTGCCCCAAAAATCGCAGAAAAATCGCAGCAAAAATCGCCGCAAAAATCGCCAGTGTAAACGGGGCTTTACAGTGATGAGACTCGAACCGTGTACTGATCACAGTTTTCTTCAGGTTATGATTTCCTGAACTTTCTTTCTACTCTTTCAAACCCTCTAAAATGAAGCACTGAGTTAAATTCACCAAGTGATCAAAATAAATCATAATTTACAGTATAAATCTACTAGAAAAAGTGACAAAAAACAAGGAGTGTATACTCGCTAGTGTCAGCAGATTGTTATCATTCTCTAGATCTGAGTATACTGTTTCTAATGTCTTCCGTTTCAGATAGAAATGTTAAGGATATTGACACTAAAAAAAGAATGTTATAATTCAAATACTTTGTATTTAAGTAATTATCGTATCTATATTAAAAAATTGGAAAATAAGTAAAGAATCTAGTTCCCCATTCACGCCAAGGCTTAAACACGTTTTAAATTGTTTAACTAAACAGGTTTGGAAAACTATCTACGAACACTGCACAATATTGGTAAAATAATACATGTAAGCTATCCTTTGTCTTGCTCTGATAATATTTTACAAAGTTTCATTATATTGTAGGTTTCTAGTTTCTCAATTTTTTTCCTAATTGAAAACATAGTTTAACTAAACACGTTTAGGTGTGAATGGGATATACGAAATGAAAAATTGTACCAATTATTACTTGAATATATAAGTCAGAGAGTGCACGCACTAAATCCGTGAACATTTAAAATTAGTACTAATTAGTACTGTTTCATACAGAATCCTTTGTTTTCTATTGTTTATTTATCACCATTTAGTACTAAAAGTTAGTATTTGTTTCACGGGTTTAGTGCGTGCACTCTATAAGTATTTTTAAATTTATGGATTACTTTGACATGATTGAAATCATTTGGTATTTCCGTTGTCGACAATCTTTCCCCCCTAAAGTGTTTAAGATAATATCGTAGTGTCTTATAGTATCGACACAAACTATAAACCCTATTTTCTTTTTCTGTCAGTTCTGACTTAGTGTTGTATAACGACTTAATAAGAAAGATTTCTCGTGGACAAACTAGTTGATTTTAAGGCTAAATATAGTACTTTTTTTGCTTTTCGCGTGACTAGCATCGCCTCTCATGACTCACAAATAAACAACCCTAATATACGTAAAAAGAACTGCTTAAGACTCTGTTATCAAAATTAGCGTTAAAAACTAGTACGAGTAAAAAAATACGTACCATATTCAAGCTCTATGACGTCCAAAAATAGCGCAGAATTTTCACGAAGTTTGTAACTTAAGAATTTTGTGACACAGCCCTTAAGCTGGAGTAAAGTCATTAAACCCGTGAAATAGATATTAGACTAATACGCATTAGTAGACCCTAATTCCATCGTTTTCTTTTTCAATGCACACCTTATGCTGAAGTAATTTTTCCAGCAACTATTTATCTCATAAGTTAACTTTTTTTATGGTGTAGCTTATAAAAAAGGTGTGCGAGTATGAAAAAAAAWTTTTTTTTTTGTATTTTTATTTTTATTTTTAAAGTAGACGTATTTCAAAACGTTATCCTTTTGAAAACTATATCAGTTTGAAATAATATTAAAGCTTTTTTTGAGTTTTCCTCACCAAAATACAACTCAATATCTACTCATTATGTAGTATTTTGTTTAAGCATATTCTTTTTTTGTAGTGTTCAGAATTTTCTTTACAAATTCTGCTTCCTTGAAGAAGTTTACCAGCCAAGATGCTAATGTTTCGAACTTGTATCAAAGTTTTTGAATCAAACGTTTTTTGGATCTTGTGGGCGTGGACCATTTCCCCTTAAAACATATCTAAGATATTCAAAACCACATTATTATTACAAAGGAAATAATTTACCAAGAAAAACGAAACCGGATTTGCATAATTAACCAAGGCGTTTTGTCAACCAAAAATACGGTTTCAGCGTTTCCTTCTTTAAGGAATGCGAGGAATTTGACCCCGTAATGTGAGTCAGTCGTGTGGGAGCATTGGATTGGTTTCCGTTTCTCGGCGAGACTGGTTTAAGATTTGGGTATAAATAATGGAGACGATAGCTCAAAAGTCATAACTCGAGAAGCAACGAAGAAACAACTACGAGAGATCTAAAGAAGCTAGAAAGATTTACTAGAGATTTACAACACTTTAACTAAAAGAAGATTCATTCAACTCAACACTAAAGGTAAATATCAGCAAAGATTGTCACGCTTTTCCAACACTCTGTTTTTCGTTTTGTTTTTTGGGCGAAGTTAGTTAAGAGTTTCATTGAAGTAGTTCTGGATAAAATATCTTCAAAAGGTCATATCGCAGAAAGCTAATGAGACTCAAGTCTATCAGCTAGGATTAATATGATAGTTCGCCTTTTTTTCAAATATTGATTCTTGATTTCAAAGATTATGATTTGTGAACTAAAACTCGTAGAGTAGACGAAACTTTTTAAAATGAAAATATTTACTATATAAAATTTGCTTATGTTTTCTCTACAAATATACTCAAATTTTCAACAGTAGTAATTAAATCTGAACCTAATTTGCAACACAGTTATTAACTTTACAGTGCTTTACAGTTTACAGTACTTCATTAATGCGTATTAGTCCCTAAGGCTTTAAAGTATTCACTGTAATACACTTATAGAGAGTCATTACACTGATGATGGACGATGGATATCGTCCGAAATATCTTCTAGTTATTCTTTTCGTTTATAAACTTTTAGCCCAAAGAGACATATAAACAAGTTTTTACTTTCATGATAATTTTAGTAACGTCATTATGGCGTCATTTATATCATCATCGTTGATGTCATCACCAATTTCGTCACTATTGACATCACACTTATGTGATTTTCTAAATTGTTTTTGTTTCAGAACAAAAATGAAATCAACGATCGTTTTTTTCCTTATCTGTCTTTCTCTCGTATCTCTGTACACAAGTCCTATCGAGGGAAGACCCAAGACTAGAGGTTATGGACCAGCCGCGCTCAATCATAATTATTGCTTCGACGGATGCCAACAAAATGCTGGAAGATGCATGTTTCAATGCACCGACACTCGAGGCCTTCACTACTCAAAATGCCGACAAATGTGCATGGGAAACAGCTTCTATCAATGCATCTTCGGATGTCTATAAAGAGAGAATAACTGACGAATACAGTATCAACTACGCATGACCGGAAGTATGCCAARGAATGTATAGCGCGCATGACTGGAAATAATAGAAGAAATAAACAGTGCGCATGACCGGAAGTCAACGATAAACATTATGACGCCATTTGCTTTAATTATTGTTAATTTTATTTTTAATTCATGTTTAAGATTCTTTAGCGCTATGCGAAGAATACTATTATTTAAAGGAAAACTTTAATACAAAAAAATATTTATTTATAAAGAAATTATTTTTCTCCTTGAAACAGAAAGATGTGAACATTTAGTGTAATCTTAGTTACCATAGAAACTGTTCTCATGGAGACGAATATACCGAAGAAAAATTGCCATTTATAGGAGTATATTGAAATTATAATTATAAAAATCAGGAATATCTGAGAATTATGAATGATCGCCGATATGTAAATATATAATTGAAAAAAATTAATGAAATTAAACAAATATTCTAGAATTGATTGATTATGATTGGTGAGTTTTTTKGGGGTCGCACCTAATTCAAGACGACCTAAAGACACGATTTAGGGTCATAGACTTCAGAGTCGAATATAAGAGGTTGATGGTCGCTTAATAGAGGTCGTTACTTCTTAGGCCGAAATGGGTTAACAAATAGTCTTTTCAGCCTTTTTAAAGGTCATATCAAGCTTTACTCTATATGTTAGTGTCGAAGTTAGAGTAGAGAAAGCTCACTCCATATATGGTTTGATCAATTCCATATTTGGATTGTGCGGAAAAGCGGCAAACAAAAAGGCCGTCGTTCTATAACGAATTCGACATGAACATTTTTGAAGAAGAAAAGAAAAGCAAAAAAAAAAAAAAGACAAGTAAAAAAAGGAAAAAAATTTGAAAATCGAGGAAGGATACGGGGACGATGCTAACTCGTGGGTCTGCCTCGCAGACAACAGACACAGGGAAATAAGACGCTCAATGTTTGATATGTAACGCCTTTTTTCTCTAGAGAGACTGTAGCAACCCTACTTCTTCCTAATATGCACTAAATTAACTAAAATCTAAAGTCCCCTTTACCCCTTTTTTATGTGCGTACTTATATTTATCAACCTAGGTCCAAACCCCCAACCCCACCCCTCGCCCCACACACTTTTTGTCTGCTCCTAAGGCATATTTTTTACTGTGATGTCACGCTATTAAGCGTGACATCACAGTGAAATTATAAATTCAAATAACAAATTAAATAAATAAATTCTGAAAAAAAGAGTTAATTTTTTTATATCGATGTTTGTAAAATTGTAAAGTTTCGAAAATTAACCATAATCCAGAAATTGCATGAATCTTTAAACCGTACGACTTTTAGAAGGAAATGTACGTATATGCAGGCAGGCAAAACGTGCATTTTTTTGTAAAACAATTGGCCTATTTCACTATGACGTCACATCAAGACAATCTATTGTTTAAACGCAAAGGATCATGGTCATCGGAGGGAGTCAAATCAACGCAAATTCACCGAAAATTGTTCTAAAACCCGTATCAATCCACGAAGAGAAGAATAGCCAGCAAACGCTCAGAATATTTTTTAGTACATATTAACACATATTATATCTGAAAACCAGGCCATTTTCGGATTAAACTGTTTCGCTAGGAGCAAATTTTGTTGCATTTTCTATTGGATTTGGCGATTCTATCCCCCACATAAACAAGCAGTGACGTCATAGTGAAATAGGTCAATTATGTTTTAAACGACATATCTTTGTTAGTTAACGTGCTACTTGAAATCAAATAAAATGATTGGTACATTTTGAACGATTCTTTATTCATACAAACATTACAAAACTTGAAAATAGTGAGAGCAAAAACTAACCTGTTTGTATTAAGTAAAAATATTTAACAATTCCTCTGAAAATATACGAAGTACAAAAGATGTCAAAGAACTAGGTTTTCAAAAATGTTGAAAATAGCTTTGTGAGCCCACAATCTTTAAGACCAGCGTGAACATATTAACCAGGGAAGGTAGAGCACGATAGGAAGTGTTTTGCATTTGCATATTCTAAATATCAAGAACATGAATATTGGGATATAGACGTGAAATGTGTATAAAGCAGTGGGGAATACTCTCTTTTCTCATTCGGTAAATACCGCTGTTTTGTATGACTGAAGACTCGTCTGCACAGGCTTAGCCTCGCTTAAGAGCAAATCATTCGTAAAAGTAAACTGTAACAACTTGAACAATACCAATGATTTAAAATCCCACAGATTTTTAATGGTGAATAGCTGCATTATAAACAAGACTAAGCCTATGTAAATGAGTCTGTGGTCATCAAAAACAGTGGTATGATCGAATGCTAGAAACTAGTGTATTTAAACCAAGATGTTTGAATGTAAAACGTGGAACATGGGGATAATTAAGTGGGATTTTAAAACCTTATTAGATATTGAAATGTAAAAACGTGACAATTACAGGACCAACAAAATGGAAAAACAGTGATATTTGCTTCTTACGAGATGGGGGTGAAATGCTTTCCGAGAACGTTAGAGAAATATTTACGTTTAATGCTGTCTACAATGGACATTCCATAAGACAATTCACGAACTGTCTTCCTTCACACATATTGCTGCACGTCAGGTAGCTTACACGAAGATCAGTACACGTAAACATACAGCTATGGGTACTCTTAGCACAATTGGTGAAGCAGGGATTTTCATTCAGGATTCCTCCTCTCTTTTGAAGAACTGCCTTGCTGTATTTGGTTCTTGAATCTCTTTGTGGAAGAACTGAGAACTCAGCTGGATGTATTTGGAGTAGGATACTGATTACGAGAAGTGATGCTAGAGTTGCTTTCATGTTTGAGTACGAACTGTAAGAGAATAAAGATTAAAAACTACAATGTCAACCTAAACCAAGTAGTAGTAGTGGTAGCAAAAAAAGGAGAAGGAGAAGAAGAAGAAGAAGAAGAAGAAGAAGAAGAAGAAGAAGAAGAAGAAGAAGAAGAAGAAGAAGATTAAGAAGAATGAGAAGAGGAACGAGAAGAGAAGAAAAACAAGAATAGAAAAAAAACACACACACACACACAAGAAGAATAAAGAAGGACAAGAAGATTAAAGAAAAACTAAAGCAATAAAAAATTATCGTCAAATAAAGCTTATTTGCAAAAACTACCTTGCTAATAAAGAAAATTCCTTCCAACGGTTTTTTCCTCAATGAGATTTTTACGTCTCTTTCAGTTTTGTATAGTTCACTTGCGTGTCTTTCCTCAAATATATAACGTCTTCCTTTGAGTTCAAGGGAGTTCTTCCTTATTTTATACCCAAAATGAACAACAAAGAGCTCTTTATGTGCTGGCATTCGATACCTTATTGAAGATATTAAACAAAGCATTCCTATGCATTTACTTAAGTCATTTTGTTTATAGTTTCTTGATGATGATGAAAGTAGTTGGCGTATTCAAAATCAACCTTAAGCTTCCGTTGCCTTCTTGAAACTAAAACAAGCAAATATAAAAAATCCTCGGCGATTTTTAAACATCATCTCTCAAGCATATTAATTTTTTTYCCTATTTTTTTCCAAATCTTATCGTTTTTAATCAGTTGTTTATCTCCCATAATCAAAATTTAATCAAATGATTCCATTCTTCTTATTTTTAAGTCTTTGAATCTTCGTTCGTCTGTAAAAGTCTGTCAAATACTTCCCAGCTTCGCTTTTATTTTGTTTTCTGTTTTTTATATTTTGTGGTTAAACAACTGTTCGTCGGTTTAAGCGAGCGAATTCCTCCGCCTTTTCTTTGTCAAGTAGTTGAATTAAACCCAAAAAAAGCTGCCTCGTTTAACCACAGCTACACGCGTTGGCGAGAACAGATGGTCAACACCCTTTTGGCGGGGCGAAGTTTTAATTAGCTTTCTTCAGGGTTTTTTAAATTGACTAAACAAAAAAATAATAACCATGACTAGAAAGAGCGTGTTAAAATCAGTAACACGGTTAAGTTTGAATAAAATAAGTTTAAAAGTCTAGAAGAATTGCATGTCTTTTGGAAAGTGTGACAGAAATTTAAAAGAAAACTTGATTAAAGAGCCGGCTTATCACTCCTCTAAAGGTGCAGATAGATTCGCGCTCAAGTCATTAATTCGAATTTCCTTAAGTTGGAATTAAAAAATCTTATTAAGAGAATTTTCAATTACATTATTTACTTGGGAATTATTAATATTATTTTCCCAAAACAGGTTTTAAAAGTCAGTTATGTAGATGAACTTAACATCATTTTTGAGACCTAAAACGTTTTTCGATTTACAGATTTTCCGGCGTCTTTTTCGAAAACGTCAAAAAACCAAAAACTATTTCGTTTTAAATAAAATGAAAGTTGTTTTAAATAAATTTGTTTTCAGAGTCACAAAGAAATTCCAGATACAAGAAAAGCTGTAATTCTTTTTCTTTGCTTTTTTACTATTTATTATTGAAGGGAATTTATCGAAATTCAGTCTATCGTAAAAAAAACTTTTTGTGGCAAAATAAATTTTTGTATTGGTTGGCAAGGATCTCACAACCTAGAGACAGAGAAATCATAGAAAAGATGAGTTTCAATATTGAAAAATGATTAATTGGCTAACATTGATTATCTAGGGCCATGATTCCAGACGTTATGCTGAACCGTCGTATGGCAGAGCGAAGCATTTACGGCTACGCCGGAGATTTCGACCCCGACACCGCTATCCGAAGATTTACAGACTGATCAGGAAGCTCGGCCAAAGCCTAAGGGAAAGGTTAGACGGCCTCTAGACCGTAGATAAGGACCCTTTGCTATGAACGACGACGACGACGAGGAGTAAATTGTCTTTTCATTGACAATTATTTTGGTGAGTAAGTACATAACTTCATAAACGTGTTAAACCATGTGGGATTTTTGAATGAAATATTATTTTCAAATCTGACATGCGTATTGCTTTCCTTTCAATTCAGTTCAATTAACAATAGCATGCTAGCTAATTAATACCGTAACATTGAAATGGTTTAAAATAATGACCAGAAGAATAGTTTGAAAATTTGGCTCAGGATTCGTCTGATTTAATTAGACTAAAGAGTAGATAATGAATGAATGAATGGATGGATGGATGGATGGATGGATGGATGGATGGATGGATGGATGGATGGATGGATGGAAGATTACGTTCCACCTGACCACGTGTCATTCCCACTGGCTCTTGAGAATAAGATTCTTTGTTAGAGTTTTATACATCCATATTCATGTGTGTCCTTATGCGTCTTCTCATGCCCAACCATTATACAAACAAATAATACTCCATGGAACTAATGACACCTGGTCTAAAATGAAAAACATTACGTMCAAGCTAAAGAGTTCTGATTAATTCATGATTGATACGTGGGGGGAAAACGTTTCTATTTTCAGAGCTGCTGACGAACAAACCTCTGACGTCACCACTCATATCTCGGTGACTTTTCTTCCCACACGCCTCATTTCTCCCAAACAACTTATGACAAATAAACAATTCGACRTGACTTTTAAACTAAAGTTCAAGTTCATTACTAAATCGTTATAATCAATCAACATTACAATCATAAAAAGTGCGTGGTGTTGAAACTCTAAACAGCAGTGGTTAAGRAATTACTGAATTAGGAATTGAAACYKTAGATACGCCAACACGATATAAWTTTTACAAGAATTTYATTTACCAATATGTTTAGAGAACTTTGTATATTTAGCACACCCAACACYTTTTTGTTTGTCGGGTTACTCACTCGTGGTACCTTATAGCGCCAGCCAGATAGTCTGTGATATTCTGGCTTAARATATTTGAAAACTGAGCTTGGATATTTAACCATCGCTTTCGGAGTTATCCAGTTACATGGTATTCTATATGAAAAACCTCGTCTTATTTCCCGCCAAACCTCAGGGCTTGATCCTTCGGTTCACATGCCATTAACGAAAARAATGATCTTAACCACACAATCTTGCCACGCTCRTATTCCATTAAATGATTTGATTATTGAAAATATAAATACGACCGCAGATGAAGATAGTGTTTTATAACGTGTAAATCATCAAGAAGCGAAGAATCTTAYATACAGAAAAACCTACTGCAGAAACGATTTTGAACTGGTAAGYTTTGGTTACGAATAATAGGATAATTTTTACCTTTATAAATAATTAATTGTCTTCGCTTTTTTATTTATTTATAAATCTTATTCCATTTTTTCTCCGCCAATCTAGGACTTTTTTCGTAGGTTATATTCACTTCATCAGTTACTATATTTTCTTTTTTTTTTTTCTTTTTAAAAATCTTATTACATTTTTCTTCGCCAATCTAGGACTTTTTTTCTCTCCTTACTTCATTCTCTCGATATTTTTTGTTCTATGCATTCCATTTTTTTTCTTTTTCTTTTCCTTTTTGCTTTAATTACCATCTTTCATTAAATTCTTTTTCTCCTCTCCTTTATTATAATCATTTCTTTAGATACCTTCAAAAGGGACCGATAGCCGAACCTTGAGGCACCCCTGACACTATTATGGGTAGACAAATACCAAAACAAACAAACCCACCACCCCACCACCCCACCGACCGAACTTTAAGGCACCCTTTGTAAATTTGATTTGCTATTAATGTTTATTTATATGTATACAAATAGATATATAAGGGTAAATAGTACGAGATTGATAAACAAAAAAATAATTTGTTTTGTTTCTCTTTATTTCAGAATATATCCACAATGACTGACAAATTCATATTTCTCATGGTGCTATGTTTCCTGACTATTCTCTCTATTACCAAAGCAGACGACGACAGGAGAGAAAAGTGCTTGGGCGAGTGCATTAAAGTAACTCTAAGATGGGAAGACAAATGCAAGAAAATCAAATCTCGGGCTCGCTTTGGMAAAAGCTGCGAGCAAATCAGTGAAGCTGTCTTCAAGGAATGCATATCCTCAAATCAATGTGTTGGTAGGAAAAAGAATTCTACCGGTTCTTATTTTAAGATCCTCTAGACTTGAAGAGGTCTTCTATAATTTATCTGCAATCATTTACAACTGTCYCAGCACAACAGTAGTTGCTTCAGACTTTGTTAATCTCAGTGAAATTGAAAGAATAAYGTAAAATATATTCTTCGTTTGCACGTTACGTCATCGCGGCCATGTTGGTACCATTTAACAAAAGATTTCTCATTAGCATCCATTGTTAACGGTACCACAATAGCCGCCATGTTTTTGTCTTTTAACTCTCTTGGGAATGCTTGCAACCCATCAGTAGTGTCACCAGCGTTAGTCGTACTTCGAATCAAACAAACTGTAATAGATAGTTAGAGGATAATATATATATATTATTTATTATTATTTTTACATTATAATCTCGTTTTTGCACGTTCTGTTTTGAAACTTAAAAACTTTAACGAGCAAAGAAGACAGAATTGCACAGGACGTATTCTAGGGATCGAAACGATCAACAATTCACCATTTTCCATACATTGGTTCACTGATCAAACATAAAGCGCTCATTAGCAAAGCGCCAAGGTACTTTAAAAAGATTACTCAAATTTGAGCCTTGCAACTTCGACTGAATGCTTAGTGTTTGACCAGTGAACCGATGGATGGAAAATGGTGAATAAACCACTTGTAGCACTTTGGAATGCAGCTCAATCTGGGGGACAAAACAATAGGTTCCAATTCTCAGGAGATTGGAATTCTTTTGTTTTGTCCTCCAAATAGAGCTACTTTCACGTCACATGCAACGGCTCTATCGCCGAAAAATCACACAAAAAAAAAAAAAAGAAAAAAAAGACACAGTTTTCCTCCTAAAAAGTTTCTTCACGCTATTACTGGTTTTTCAATCAATCCTAAGGGCAGTGAAATAACGAAAGACACGGCGGCCATGTTGGATGATATAACAAAAGAATTCATTGACAATTAGATTGTTAAATGCATCCAAGATGGCGGCATTACGTCATGTGCATACGAAAATCTTAGATTGTCTATTTGATGGCTCGTCATGTTTGTGTACGCGCGCGCACCTTTAGGAAAGATCTGTTGTGATAATGATCGAAGACTTCGATGTAAAGATACAAGAAAATGTAAAATGACTTGTAACATTTAAAATAAACAATACTATCAGAAATAATATATACACRCTAGTTAATAAATGTACAATACAAAGTACTCTACTGTTGTTACTATACCAAATACACTAAATATAAATCTATTTCAAAAACTTCGTCTGAAATCTGAAATCTAAGACCAATGAAGGGAAATGGGTGTTTTCTCGTTAAAAATTAAAATACCACTTAGCCAGACAATGTACTGAACACTTGCCTGCCATAGCCGACGCTGGCCTCCGCTGTACCCTGTCCCGAGAGTGTTGTCTTCACCGTCCACCAGCGACCCCATGACATCCCTCGTCTATCGCCTAGTCCTCTCTGGCGTAAAAAAATGTGTCTGGCCAATCCCCTTGTCCTCACTATCATACAGACCTCTACTATCTATGTGGCTTTCCCATCCCCTTGTAGTCCATTCTTACCAGTCTTTTTCCGCTACTTGGTTCTTCTTCACCGCGCACGCAAAGATAAGATTGGGTCCAGCTCTGGACTAGTTATTACACTAACCCACGAAACTTTAGACCTCATAAATGATACCAGATGGTAAAGAGAAGTAAGAAAATTAATCCAAAATGCATGAAAATCCGTTCTGTGGTTAACACTGAGAATTAGACCCAATTATTTTTCCGATAATATTTTATGATCAAAACCACAAGAAATGAAATATTTTAATAACTAAGAGAAGATTGCTTTTCTTTCTTATTTAGAAAGCCGCAAGTTGGAAAATAGTCCGGAGAATTTAGGAAACAATTTATTATGAAAATTTGGTTAATCCCCCAACACGTCTTCAAAAATGTTTTTTTTTTTGTGTTTTGAAAAAATGTTCGTCAATAGCTTGACATCTGGTTGAAATTTGTCGAAATCTTAAACGTTTTTAGTGGTAAGTCTTTTTTTAGTTTGCAGTGAAGGTATTTATGGATTTTTGAGGGGTTTGGAGAAGAGTTTCTTGGAATAAAATAAACCATTTCAGTTGTAACATTTTGTTGTTTACGGCATGTTTTTCATCTTCCCTTCAAWCGTGAAACGTCAGTTGACAATTGCAAGCGYAACTTTATTGTATTATTAGTGAAAAAGAATCTAAAACAACTCTAAAGTGGTAGAAACTGATAAAAGAATACTCGTTGTTGGAGAAATTATTCGCAAAAGCGAAAWGCAGTGAAAAGATAAAAACGTGGTTAATATGTGGCGCCTCACTGCAAGAAACTGAAAAAACTGAACGTGATTCTTTATGACGAAAGAGCTTCAGAGCAAAAAAATAGTCAGCATTCTTCTCCTAACGCATACACTAATCAATAAAACGGTCTTCTCACAAATATTCAATTGTAATTCAAGACTTTAAAATACTTTTATTAAACTGTAAACGGTTAGTTTTCTATGAAGTTGCGGTTTCAAGAACCGTGGGAGTCTTTATATCCCAGGACGCAGACGCCACAGTCGYTCGTGCTTTTGTTTCGTTTTTGACATATGTTGTTCTTACGTACATACTTCTATAAAAAACAATTTATTTATCTATCTTTATATCGAGTTTATTTTAAGAGTAAAGTTGTTTTTGATAGGTGAAAGTTTATATCCCACGACACAGACGCCACAGTCGTTCGTGCTCTTGTTTCGCGCGCGGTTTTTTACCTACGTACATAATTCCATTAAAAAAAMCTTTATATCCACCTCTATATCGAGTTTATTCTAAAAGTAAAGTTATTTTTTATCGGGGAAAGAGATTCTTTGAGTACAAAGGCACTTTTGCCTTGAACTCATAATTTTATGAAAATGAAATACCAAATCGTTTGTTTATCTTTCGTTCTGTATCTCGTAAAACGAAACTACATCGCCAACGCCGCTATCAATCAAGTCAAGAAACCGCTAGCGAAGGAAACAACTGTTTATTCACCACACGCCAACAACATGGTCGTATTTCAGAGAATTCATTTCAGTATTTTTGGTTATAAATATGAGGACAACAAGATCTGGGGTGTCATTGCTCAAAGACAATTAAGGATACTGTGGAATTGACTGTGCTGCGAAAAGACGAGATTTGTTAAGGTAAGTAACTGACARATGCGAACTTTATTGTCATTATTATAAGAATGTCTTTTTATCTTTCATTTTTATTTCCGTTTCAACTACTACCGCTACTAAAACTAAATATRATACAGCTACTATAATTACTATAATTTCTATTATTCCTACTACAATTTTCTACAACAA